GGGGTCGGGGGCAGCCATGGGGCGGTAGCAGTGTCCGAAGTGTCTCGCATATCCGCACGCCGCCCATCCCGTAGCGTACACAAAACGTCATCGATTTCCAGTCTGTTTGACGCGCCGTCGCCCTGATGACGCCGTCCTCGTCGCACGTGGGGCCTTCCCCGTCGGCCGAGGCGAGAGAGAGAGAGAGAGAGAGAGAGAGAGAGAGAGAGAGAGAGAGAGAGAGAAGCGCGTTGGGCAGCGCTGACCTGGGCCAGGCGGCCGGCCGGGCGCCTGTCTGTAGTTAAACGCGAACGGGTTTGGGGTAGGTCGGCGCTCGGCGCTGCCCGCCGAGTTAGTGTACTTTAGCTTACTAGTTAGTGTACTTTAGTTTACTTTACTGTTGCTTCAGCATCACGTGGACATGTTTGATGTGTTTGATGCACATTTACCGATATTTTTGTAAGGTGCCGTACGCTTTCGTTAGCTGAGCCTAAAGGGAGGGACTCGGGTCAAAATAATGAGAGACAAGGGTTTTGGCATATCTGCAAATATATTTGTACTTTGTAGAAAAAGTACTTAAAGTCACATGTGTGTATATAATAAAAAAAACAGTATAGCAGGTACGAGAATATACATTCGATGTCATAGTCGAGCACCTTGTGCTGGACTTGCGGGGAAGGTTACACATACACTCATTCTCATTGAGGAGAAAACCTCGAGTTTTTAAAGGTTTCTTACCTTTTACGGAAGTGCGTAGTGCATGTTCTTAATTAAAAATAAAAGTAGCTAGGAAACGTGTATAAACTACACAAATCTAGGTAAAATATTCAGTATTTCCTGTCACGTAGTGACCAGTTCGTGACAAACAAAAGGGGGCAGTCCTTATACTATGTACATACATACTTTTTTTGCTCTTCGGCGACATCCGCCGAGGAGTGTCATGAGCCATCAGTCTTCTTCTTTGGACAGAAATCGTATGACTAACTTTCTATGCATATCACGGCCTCTCCTGCTGGTCCGCCTCAGGGGCGGGCGGCGGCGACGGGGGCGGGGAGGTGACCGGGAGGCGGCCGGCCGTCAGGGCGTCGGGCATGGGGGGCGGGGGCGGGGGTGAGGGCGAGGCATCCTGACCGTAGTGCTCGTGCAACTCCTCCAGCCGGTTGGACAGCATGTTGCCGATGTGCGACGTGCGGTTCATCTGGCTGAACAGCGAGCTGGTCTGCTGCTCCAGCCGGCTGAGCCGCTCGGCGCGCGCCGCCAGGATCTCCTCGGGCGTGCGCTCCGCTGGTGTCGTCGCGGAGGCCGTTGGCGAGGAAGTGGAGGCTGTCGCCGTGGTGGCGGAGACCCTCGTGTCGGCCCTGGGTGACGTCCTGGACTCGGCGGACGCGGCGGGCCCGTACTGCTCGTGGAGCTCCTCGAGCTTGTTGGCGAGCGCGCTGCCCCGCCGGTTGGTGTTGGCCACCTTCTTCTTGAGCCAGTCCGCCTGCTGCTCGAGGCGCTGCAGGCGCGCGGCCCGCCCGGCCAGGATCTCCTCGGCGCTCCTCTCCGCTCGTGGCACCTCGGGGGCCGGGGGTGGCGTTGGCGGCGGTGGTGGTGGCGGCGGTACCTCGGGGGCAGCCGGCCGCTCCTCGGGGTCCGGGGTGGGAGCGGGCGGGGACGGAAGCCTGAGCGAGGCGGCCACGTCGGACAATGAGAAGTCCACGGAGGCGACGTCAAAGTTGCCGAACAGGAACGGGCTGCCGCCCGCATTGCCGGGTGTAGCGGCGGGCAGGGCGCCGGCGAGGGCGCCGAACAGCGGGACCTCCCGGGTGGGCGGCGGCCGCAGCGCAGCGTCCTGCGGGGTGTCCGGGGGGCTGACCTGCGGGCTGGCCAGCTCCTGCTTGGGGGCCTCCTCGTCATCCTCCGTGTCCTGGGCGGCGTCCTGGCCGCTCTGCTGCTGCTGCTGCTCCTCCCGCGGCGCGTCCTGCTTGCCGAGGCTCGCGACGCGCTGGGCGTACTGGACCAGCGCGCGGGCCTTGAGGTCGCTGAGGCGGGTCGCGGCGTCGCCGTCGCGGGCGTCGTCCGTCTCCTCCGCGACGCGGCGACGCGGCGCCACGGTGGTGGACACGGCGTGCTGGGCGGGCACCACCTCGGTCTGCAGCACCACGGCCGCGGAGCGCACCACGGTGGCCGTCAGGGGCTCGGTGGTGACCACGCGGCAGGCGCTCGTGCTGACGCAGCGCACGGGGGCCAGCTCGGCCAGCTCCAGCGACTGCAGCTCGCCGTCCTGCTCGGTCGCCTCCAGTTGCGGCGCCAGCGACACCTGCGGGACCATGGCGATGTCAGCGTGTACCCTACC